GTCGGCGTTTCAGGATCGTTGATGACGTGGCAGGGACGACGTGGCGACAATGACGATGACATGGCAATGTTGACGTTGAAGATGACAACGATGGGGATGGCGTGGAATGTCGACGTCGAAGACAATGATGATGATGTCGTTGAAGCTGCTCCGTGTCCATCAGGGTGGGCGGGAGGGCGATCGATGCCACTCCAATACCAGTGTGACAAGGCAGAGGTAGAGCAGTGAGGCTGGGAGAGAGGGAGAGTGAGAGCACACACACACGCTCACTCACCTCGACCCAGACTCGACACGACTCGATGGACAAAGTTGCCCCAGTCTTGAATTCCCGAACACAATGTGGAAGCCAAGTCGCACTGAACACAAGCACTGAGGCTGAAAACTTGGTGCCCGTACTGTGCGTGAGTCCGTACTTAAGTACCGGACTCCAGTACGGTGCTGAGGGCGAAAGTGAAAATGCCTGAGGGCCAGAACTGGAAATCGAAAGTCTGAAGTGGGCACCAAAATGCCGGATGGTGCCAAGTGTACGAAATCCGAAAGTCTGAAAAGGAGGAATTTGAAAATGGGCGCCAGAAAATGTGGATGGCGCCAACTCTTTAAAATCAAGCTCCGTTTCGGTGAAAAAGCAGGGAGCGCTGTTTCCGGGCCGGTAGCGTAGCGCTCCGGTTTCAGCGCCGCTACGCGTCTCCCCGCGCGTAGCACTGTTCGTCTGAGAACCCCGCCGGCACGATGGGGCGCAGAACGAAGGTAGCGCGCACTCCTCTTCGAGAGTGGAGACTCGTCTCACAGCGCTACCATCGCCGAACAGTCCTTAATCTGGGTGAAATAGGTACTTCCATGACTTCGTTCAGGTCGTGTCTCTGTTTTCCGTTTTCGCACGAAGTCGGTCGCGGTTACACGGTTATCAGCGACGAGTGTAGTCACTAGCGCCGTAATATGGACATTAGGTAAAATTTCGGAGGGTAGACCTGTTATCATGGGGAAGCAATGCTTGCTTAGGAATGTATGGCAGAATTGATGAAGCGCTCCACGCTTCAGCCATCTGGCATTTTGGGAAGGAGGTAAGGAAAGTAAGAGTGAGCATGAACCAGGACGGACGTTGGGTATGCTCCCGAATAACCTAAAAGTTACCGCAGTAACTTTCACGCTCCTGTAAAACACGCCCCCGTAAATGGGGTATAGCGGACATGGTGATCTCTCTATGCGCAACGGCAGGAGGCAACCCGGGGTACGCAGATCGAAGCAGATAACGCGAGCACGTCTCCCCTTTCCCGGTAAAACAATTCCATATCAGTTGGCAAAATTCCGGTTTTTAGGAATGGTCGGTGGTTTCGAAGGAAGGCATAGATGTGGAAGACGACCTGGATAGACGGGCACAGGGGTTTCGCGTCCGAAGGGACGGAGATCATAGATTATTGGCCATGGCGGTAAATCCGGAACAAGAGAATGTATTTGGGCAGAAGGGGCAGTAAGTTCCGGACAGTAGTAACGCCGGGGCCCTGGTCGTCTCTCAGCAGGTAAGACTCCGGTGCTGTTAGCGCATCGCCGCGGCTCTTGGACACCAGAGGTCGGCAGGAACAAGTCTGCCTAGACTAGGGCGCCCGGCGCCCCGGTGTTCCGACAGGCAGGATCAGGACGGTCTTTACCAGGTGACAGTCGGGTCCTGCCACGGTGTATACCCTTAACTCAGGCGAGCGGTGGAATGGGGGACTGTGCAAGCGAGAGAGAGTGAGTGGGAGTGAGGGAGTGCGAAGGAGAGAGAGAGAGGGAGAGAGAGAGGAAGAGGGGGAGTGAGACAGAGAGAGAGTAAGGGAGGGGAAAAGTAAGTGGG